TTAATCTGATTTTCAAAAATACTTTTTCAGTTTCTAGAAGGAAGTGTAGCAAAATCCTGTGCTCGCCTGTGTCATTTTGAAGATATTCCCTACTGGCCTTTTATTTAAAGTATAGTACGGGTCCCTGATACTAATGCATCCTGCGCGGAAACTTTTTAAGGCTTTTGTAATCAAATGTTCAAATGGACCTCTTCATCTGTTACCAAATGTCATGAGAACTTTTCTGTTATGGAAAGTTCACTGTAAATATAACTCAAACCCCTCAAACTAACCGTGATGTCTGTCTAACCTAACCCATTTCCTCCTCAGTTATTTATGGTGGGCCCCTGATAGAACCACAAATTTTGCCTTAAAGGTTAACACCTCATTTCTGAAACAGCCCTACTCTTAAATTTACCGATCATCTGCTTTCAAAATTTATTTTTGATTGTGTTTTTCATTTTATTTCCAGTTTATACCCCAGACTGGAGGTGCAGCGGGGGACTTCCTATGGAGCACGCAGATAGTCGAAACAGACCCGTAAGCAAGAACACCAACAGCAGGTTGTGTGGTAAGAACCTGAAGGTGCCCTGGAGGTGCACTAGAGTGCCGTGGAGGTGTCCTGGAGCTGTCCTGGAGCTGTCCTGGAGGGGCGCTAGAGGTGCGGTAGAGGTCGGGGTCGGGAGCGCGCACGAGAGAGACTAACGGAGCCGGAACCACTCGGAGACACTTACGGGGAGGGCGTGGCTCCTCGGCGGGAGCCCCAAGGCCGCGGAGGGGCGCCGCGGGGTCACCCGGGAATGGGAAGGGGGGGGGGGCGTCAGGAGAGGCAGCACGTCAGCGTCAAGGCGAAGCGGCGGCGGCGTCCTGGGCCCGGGGGGGAGCCTGCCGGGTCGCGGGGGGTTGCCGTTGCCCGACGACGACACGAGAGCGACACCTCGCTACGGACGGTCGAGGACGCCGAGGGCGCGCTAGGACGGGGCGGCCTCGGCGCAGCAGCGGCGGCGGCACCGACCTGCTGCTGGGGATCCACGGTGGTGCGCGCGGACTCGGTGGGCGGGCGCGCGCGAGGTCCCCGACGACGCCCCCTCTCTCTCACTAGGCCTGGGCACGACTGACGACGGCCGCCGGCCCAGCGGCCAAACTCACCTGCTCCGGGGCGTGGTCACGGTGGGCACGCCCCCGGAGGGCACGCCCCCGGGCGCGGCCGGCGTTGGCGTGGGTGACGGAGGGTCCGTGGGCTGCTGCTGCTGCTGCTGCTGCTGCTGCTGCTGCCAGTATTGCTGCTGGCGCGGTGGTCCGCGCCGCCGGTCCAGCGTGTAGTATTTCGATGCATCCGAGTGGCCTAGTTCCGGTTCCGATTGGTAGCCCGACGTCCTGCCTGCAGACGACAACAACAACAACATGATTCAGGATGCACCACGCCGATGACGCGACAAATGCGGCGGCTCTCCCGGCCGCTCTGTGGGATTGCACAGGACGACGAGAGTCCTGGGTTGGAAATTTTCAAAATTTTCCGGAAAGTTTCCGAAAACTTTCCGAGAATAACGGAAAACTTTCCAAAATCTGGGAAATTTTCAAAATTTTCCGGAAAGTTTCCGAAAACTTTCCGAGAATAACGGAAAACTTTCCAAAATCTGGGAAATTTTCCATTTTTCCCCGGAAATTTTCCGTCTTTTCCAGAAATTTCCCTGATAATTTTCCGGAAGGGCCAGTGCGGTGAAGCGGGCTGGAGGAAGTGGAGTTGGTGGCCGGCTAGCCGGCTAGAGGAAATTAGCGCCCTCGGCGGCGGTCGTGCGGCTGGAGGGAAGGTTAGGGGAGGGAGGAGGGGGAAGGAGGG